TTCACAGGCTCTAGCTATTCGAGAATAGTGATTTACAGCCCCACTCCCTTTTTCTGTTATTTTATTTCTTATGATGAAATCTAGGCTGACAGCCTAAAAAGCCTCTACTGGGTGCAAAAGCCAACCTATTTAAAGTAAGAACAAATTTGATTCTTGTTTTTTTAAACATTAAAGTTAAAGGAAACCAAACAAAGTTGTTTACACATGGCTCACATTCCAGTTTATGAGTATCTACTCACAATGCAACAGGTCTTCCCTAATCATCTTATTTAGCAGAATGAATGGTGGGCAGTCAATAGTCTTGCAAGAAAAACAATCTCCTGGATGCTATATTGAAGAAAACAGGTAAAATTCACAATATAAGTATATAATATCCTTTCTAAAACGACTATAGTACCTGCAATATGGCTATATCTAGACTCACAGGAGGCAAGCCTCATTAAAATTTGTAATTGAAAAGTTACATTATAATTAGTGACTCTTCTAGAAAAAAAACCTTGAAGCCTACCCTTAATAAAGTTTCATAACATTTTTTTTTTTTTTCTGAGACAGAGTCTCGCTCTGTTGCCCAGGCTGGAGTACAGTGGCTCAATCACAGTTCACTGCAGTCTCCTCCCCCCAGGGTTCAAGTGATTCTCCTGCCTCAGTCTCCTGAGTAGCTGGGATTACAGGCACCTGCCACCATGCCCAGCTATTTTGTATTTTTGGTAAAGATGGAGTTTCACCATGTTGGCCAGGCTGGTCTCAAACTCCTGACCTAAAGAGATCTGCCTGCCTCGGCCTCCCAAAGTACTGGGTTTATAGGAGTGAGCCATCGTGCCAGGCTTCACAAGAGATTTTAAATAAATGATTAAACTCTATCAGAGCTTATTCTGATAAATAAAATCATAAATTTTATAAAATTCAGGAAAGAACATATATTCAAGAATTTAAAGACTATTTTAGACAAAAATATATGAGATACTCAAGCATATGACAGATTAAGGGTGCTCAGATTTTGGATCTGTGTGCATGGTACACAAAATTGTCTTTAAAGTTTCATTACTGACCTAAGTGTTATTTGATTTTAACCTACATTTACATATTAATAGTAATTATTAACTGTCTCATCTTTTACAAACCATGTAGGCTTACTGTCAATTTTTAGGAAGATTTTAATAGATTACAGAATATGTTACAGCAATGCATTATTTACTCACTAATGTTTAATGGTTAAAAGTTACAGAATGTCAAAATGCTCTCTTAATTATCATAGTCAGTGTCCCTTCAATAATTTTCAAGTAATTAGCAATAACCCTTAAGTTTTATTCCCACACATACAAAATACACAACAGAATTGCCGAATTACTAAATTGTAAGCAGATGTAAGTGTGACATAAACAAGGTAAACACATATAATACACACAATTGACCAGCTTTTCCAATTCTTATTTCTGATGCTGTAGATAGATGCAAGGAAGGAAGATTTGATCTTTTCTGCTTGCTTCTAAATTTGGGTTACTTTCCAAAAACATCTGTTTAGGATGCAGAAAGACTCAAATCCGCAATATGTACTATATACCCCAACTGATACCATTAGTAACTTACAGCAGAATCAAATTGTGACTCCCTTCTCCAACTTCTATCTTCAATATAATCACTAACATTTTAAGTGACCTTAGGAACTGCCAAATCTTAAAACACATTGGACACCATTAATAGTCAACTAGGTTTTATACAATTATACAATTAATTTGACTGTATTCTAATATTCTGAACACTCATCATCTGTATATTTATATGAAGTAAATTTTACAAATATTTGAAGATCACTGACTGGGCTATACAATCAATATAAAGATGTAAAATACAAATACGGCAAGCCAATTTGAAAACTCAATTATTCAGGACATTGGTGTAGAATTTAAGAATCACTAACACTAGCCTAGTTAGTTTACGCTGTGCAATATAATAAATGCTAATATTTAAGTGTTACTATATTTCATGCACTTTCCCAAGCGTTTTATTCTGTCATTTAATCCTCACAAGATCTCTATTCGCAAGTTGGTAACGTTATCTCTTATTAAAACAAGAGAAACTTCAAGTTTCCAAGGTTAAATAACCTGCCAATGATTTACAGATAGAGAGAGAGAGAAAAGGAGGAAGGGAGGGAAGAACAGGGAGGGAAGGAAAAAGGTATCTCAATAAGATCTGACCCAAATGATTTTTTTAAAGTGACTTTTTTTCTCACTGCACATCATAAGCCTTTATATAACGGGTTAGGTTTCCCTTTTCCGGGCAAATCAAATACTTCATGAACACCAAACTGTTCTATAATCATGTTTCCTTTAGGTCGATCACCAAGTTATAAGCACCTTGAAGCCAGGACTCTGTCTTATTGATGTATTATGTCCCCAAGCACCTATCGAGTAGTCAAAAGGCTTTTAAAAATTCCATATCATATTAGATCTTCTTTTGTGTGATCTTTTAAACATCCATCTTAAGATAAAGCCTTGCTGAAAATGGAAAGTGGCAAAGAATCCCAGAGTCAAACGGGACCTCACAAAGGTCAAACAGTCTATATTCTTATTCATCACTACCATATCCATGCTAATTTTCTCTACGTCAACCCAAAAAAATTGTGGGAAGAAAAAGTGAAATAAATCTGATCATCTACGAATTGATTATTGCCATAATAAAGAAACTTAGAATTTCATAATTAAATGAGGTTTATCGAGTCAGATGATGCAGTCCCCTTGACACTTAAACCTAAGAATTTCTTAGGCTTAAAAACAAACAAACAAACTGGCAATCTGACAATCTGTAAAATTCTCATTTTAAAAGTTCAATTCTCCAAATAAGACAATGCACACCCCAAAACAGCCAGCCAGCGAATCTGATATAAATATTTTATAACTTTCAGAATACCACATCCACCAGTTTTGAGGAATATTTTTATTAACACGATACAGTTTAGTTAAGGCCACGCTGCATATCAAACATATCTACATATCAAAAATAACAGCAAAAAGAAAAACCTGTATGTGATAAAACAAGTAAAGCATTCTCAACATATCATCAGCTATAGTCATCTTTTTAAACCTTAAAAATCTTTTCAACTCTAAAACTGGCTCGACGCAAATACCAATCACATACCAAACCTTGTAAGTAGTACTATGAATGTCATTATAACTCTGTTAACTAACAGTAGTTAAGTCAACAATTTGTTAAATTAACAGCTTACTTGAAAATTTTACTTTCATACTATTAAGCTTCCATAAGTCATAACAATTGTGCCTATTCAAAGACTGAATTCTAAAATAAAGGTTGATGGAAAAAACTCTTCATAAGAGTTCACAAATTAGGATGTTACAACACTATAAGCCAAAAAAGGATGCTCTTTAAATGAGTAGCACACAGGAATACAAAACTGGTGTCTACCTCTACAACAATAAGAGTTGACTCTAAAGACTACACCAACTCTAAAACACAGTCCATTTGCCTACGCTGCTTAAGTTTTTAGGCTATAAAATAAAATAGCAAATCCTTCCAATACCACATTATTAAGGAGATTTTTAAAAATTGTGTTCTTCTTCCATGTGAAAACCAAGATGTTCCTTCTAAAGCAATCAACAATTCATTTTCACAACCACTAAGAAATTACAATGTAAATAATTCCTGTATCACCTATTCATATTACCCGGCTTCAGTCTTCCACAGAGCTTTGCCTAACTAGACCCGCCCCTCTGGAGGTATAAATATTCTCTCAGTCCTTAACATAAACGAGGTCAGGATAGTAAACTGGTAAGGTCCCCTCCAACAATCCTCTCACTCAATTGTGAGCAACATCCCCAATTCTCCTTCATGGAATAGAACAGCACACAAATTCAACCTAGTTTCTGGCATCAATTTAAAAAGATATAGCAATAAGAACTTTGTCTTGGAACCAAGTATCTGGGGATATAGAAACAGTGTACAAATAATAACATTTCATTTATCATACTATACTCTGTGTAAATCAGAAACTTTAATTACAGTGCTGGAAACGTGCTGGTAAACCGGTAGTGGAAATTGTCAGCCCAGAAGCAGCACTCAATCCCATCATGCAAACTTTGCTACCCTCAAAACCAACTACCCTGACTCACCTATCGTGTAATAGGATTCCTCTTCTTCTAAATCACACTACCCAAGAAATTTGCACACATCTCTCCTTTTAATACTGGTAAAACTTCAGTTTAAGGTTTCATGAAATACTGAAAGCCAATCTTTGAGCAAGCTTAAGTTCTGCCCGTCCACTTTTCTTACCAAGTTAAGAGCCCTCAAATAAATAACGTCTCGCAATGTTTTAATACTATTCCTTCCACCAAAGACTTCTCGCAGTGTTTTAAGACTATTCCTCCCACCAAAGACTGGTGTCCTTATTTTCCCAAATCACTGCCTTTCATTACGTCCATTTCCCTTGCATGAAAAGCAGACTTTTTTTTTTTTTTTTTTTTCAGCACGATCCTTAATAAGTAGGCTTCTAGTCTGCCATACCTGGGAACAAAACTCACAGAGACTAGCTCCCAAATAAGACAGGAAAACAGTAACATAACACGAGGAAAGAGACGGAAAACTGGCGTGTGACTATTTTGGTTAGAACAGCCGGGCACAGTCCATAAAATCAGGTATTTAACACGTAAACCTTGTTCCTGGGGGGGGTTGCTAAAATAAGCACTGATAGTGTGAGAGACGTCCCACAAGCTGGAAGGCAGGGACCAGGCTCAATCTAAAGAGATCCAGAAGCTGCCAGGGCAGAGGCGGGGACCGCCAGACGGAAGAAAACTGGTTGTAGAGGATGCTGCGGCTGGGTGGGCTAAGACGGTGCTTTCTCCAGGATGGAAGGCCTAGAGAAGTGGACCCGGAGGCTTCATTCCGTCGGGCTCCGGTCCCTAGGGTTTCTGGGCTCCCAGCTCAAGTTTCACCGGGGAAAAAAAAAGCAGCCAACATGCATCCCGGCACCTTAACCCACGAGCCTGCGCTCTCCGCTCCAGGGCAATGAGCTAGAAGTAACGGTCCCCGGAGCAAACACGGAGCTCGGCGCACTGAGCACCATCGCCAACCCTCGGCCATCCGAGCCGCGACCCGCGCGGCCGCGGGGGAGGGGAGCCGGCCGCCGGCGCAGCACTAGCTGGCCCGGCCCTTCCAGGGCCTCGCCCCGGGCGCGGCGAAAAGTTTCCAGCCAAAGTCCTCATCACTCGCTCGCGCAGCCAACCGCCAAACACAACCGCCTCGCTGCCCGGGAGAGCTGCTGGGCAGAGCCGGCCGCGGCGCCCGCACCCTCAGTGGCGTCTCCCACGCCGGCCGCCGAGATTCACCTACCACAGAGCCGGGAGAAAAGCAGCAGCGGGAAGAGCAGCAGCAGCAGCGGAGGTGGCGTCGGGGGCTGCAGCAGGAGCCCGGCTCCGAGGACAGAAGCGGAGGAAAGTTGTGTTCTGCCGCCTCCGGGACACAGCAAGGCCGGCCGCGGGGTCCGCGCCATCCCCCACCCTCCCCCCGGCCCGCTAGCCCGCCCGTCCTCCCGCTCCCCCGGCCCCGGCGCCTCCGGCTCTGGGCGGCGGCTGTGGAAGGTCCGGCGCGCGCGTCCCCAGCTCCCAGCTCTAGCGCCGTCGCTGCCGGCTGACACTCAGCCGAGCGCTGGCGGCTGCTTCGACACCGCCGTCGCCGACGCCACTGCCGAGGCTGAGGCGGGAGCCGCCCGCCGCCGCCGCCACTCCCCTCCCCCCGGCAACAGCCCGCCTCGAACTCCTGGGAACTCGGAACGCACCACCCCGCCCCACGCGGGAGGGGGGAAAGTAGCCGACCCTCAGAGCGGTCTCCCGACTCGCCCGCCCTCCCCGCACAACTTCAGCTCCCGTCTGATCCCCGGGCGCAAGCCCTGTCTCCTCCCACCCCGCCCTCCTACACACGCTCCTCCCCTTTCAAAAAAAAAGCAACTCTTTTCATCCACTTTGATAACGGGGTTCCTCCCAAAGCAGAGCTTTAAAAGGGGCAGGAAAATCTGGAATAGGTTAGTCGGCCCCGCCCCTCGTTCCTGCCTGGTTTTCCCCCTTCCCTGCCTTTCCAATGGTCTCGCCCACTCCTCCCCTCTTGGGTCCACCGAGGCCCCAGCGCCGACTGAGGCGAGGGCTGCGGGACAATCACGCTACGCGCTTGCCTCTCCCGGGCGGCGCTCTCCCTCTGGCGGGGACCGGAGACGACGAGGGGTGGGAGAGGAAGGCAGGAGGGGGCTGCTCTTCCGTTGCCCAAGCTAATGGTTCCTGTGTAGGAAGCTGTACGCAGCCTGTTGGACTAGTAATCTTCCTCCTCGCTGGGGCGCGGGGGACTGAAGGGAGAGACTTTCTCCTCCTTCCTGCTCCCTGGGACAGCTGTGCTCTCCGAATCCCTCCCTCCTTCCCAGCCCACTTCCCCGCTCGCCGAGGCACGTTTGCTCAGGCGTTTTTCCTGCTCTTTTCCCTGGTAGGGCGGCTTGGTGGAAGGGTCGGCGGAGCTGGGCGAGGAGAGGGGTCTCAGAAGGTTTGCTTTCTCGCTGTTGCTTCTCACTGGCCGCTGGGCTGTCCACTTTCTGCGCCGGGCAACTGGCAACAGGAGGCCATGGATTTCCCCTAACGAGTGCGTTGGTGTTTTTCGTTCGTTTTGTTTCGTTTGCATGTTCGTATGTGTAGTTTTATTTTCTTGTCTGTTTTCCTTTGAACTGATCGCAGAGACGCGACCTCGGGAAGCGTTAAACATTTGCCCGTAAGAGGAGCGTCTGTGGTCCACCATGACCCTCGCTCACCCCAGGTGGCTGCCCGCCCTGCCCTCTCCATCCTCCCGCCTTGCACAGTACCGGCGATTGACCTTGGAGCCACTGCCACATCGGTTCTGCGGGGGGAGTAGGAGGGTGGACAATTTGGACTGTCCGGCGTAGGGGGCGGATTGAAGGCGGAGGACACCAGTCCACAGGCCTGACACCATTAATTTTATGTAGCTCCTGTCATCTCCACCAGATAGCCGTGTGTTCCAATAACGGGAAAGCTGAACAAGGATCAGCCGCCCAGGAATTAGCCTGTCGAAGCTCAACTAATGCTTGCTTGCGGCCAAGACCACGCTGTCTTCGGCTTTCGGTCACTAGGGTCTTCCCACCTTCCGCCCGCTGGATTACAAGGCTTTACTCACCTCCAAGGCTACAAGCCATTCTGTACCCTGCCCACCTCTTCTTTTCTTTCTTAACTTCTGCCTCCCAGCCAGTCTCCCAGCTCTCGGTCCACCTTTTTCCCTCCATCCCTTTCCTATTCCTCCCTCCCTGTGTCTGTCTGCCTCTGTTGTTCCCTGTAAGCCTGTGTCCTGCAGCCAAGACTTTCTATCACCTATTCTCAAGATGGACTTATGAATAAACCTTGTTCTGCATCGCTCCGGAAGATCCCCTGATGAGGATCATAATTGACAAAATGTAGCTATTGTGACATTCCTCGGCTGTGCTGACACCACCTTTTCCCTTGAGAAAATTTCTTTTCCTGTATTTGCATTCCCTAAACCTAATTTCACTGCTAAATTTAGACAGCCCACTGCGCAGCCACTAGCTAATTATCTGTTTAGATAGCACTTTAACACGTTGTTGAGATTCAGTTAAATGTTAACCAAAATTTTAATATCACTAGCCAATTTCATTCCCCCAGGTTTTCCCTGATGGTTCCAAATCTCCAAGAAAAATAATTGAGCCAACATTTCCAAAGATGCCAAAGGCTTAACTTGGGTGGGGCCATTAGGCAATTGCTACAGAGACCATAAGGAATTAGCAGATTTAGTTCTTCTCAAAAATATAATATGGAGCTATAACAAATATATTTCCTCCCTATTTATAGAAATTGAATAGTGGCCTGCTATGATCTTCTCTGACCTAAAGTGAAGAGAAAGCATGGAAAAGAAGTATTTATAGATCTTATATAAGCATTAAAAGAGCGCCATGCTGGTGTTTTATGTGCATATATGTATTATGTTCTAACAATAATAATTTGTGTTTATACAGCATCTTCAACTCAAGATGTCAAAGCACAAGCTCACTTCGGAAGGTAGCAATTACTATGATCTCTACTTGACAGCTGCAAGAACCTAGGCACAGAGTTTAAGTGCTCTGCTAATACTACCAGCCATATGTGGTGGTTATCCTGCCAGAACCAAGTTCTTGCCTTCCAGTGGACACCATTGACCTCTCAAGATTATTCTTTAAGTTAAAAAGAATAAATTTACTAAGGTAACTCAAATTTCTACTTTCTATAGTAAAAGTATCCAATCTTAAATAACATTCTCCTCAGATGAATGAATTTTAGACATACCCACCCCAAGCTTTCCTGTTGGAAATTTTTACTGGCTACAGAAAGAGATTTTACATTACATATACAACTGATTTTTTTTCAAGGGCAGAAATACTGTTAATTTTTTATAAACCTTTAACATGAGATTATTAGTGGGTTCTATGCCATTACATATAAGTTCACATTTATTGTTTGAGTAACAAACTGTTTTAAGGAATGTGTAATTATAACTAACATTAATATTTCTGACACCACTGAATAACAAAGTATGCATGTATTTTTTTCAGAAAAAAATTATCTGAACAGAAAGCAACATAATCCTAATGCCAACAATGGTTTCATTGTTTTGGATTAAAAGTACTGATGGTGTCCATCCTACTTTCGGCTCAAAGCTTGTTTGCCAATTATCAAGGTTCATTAACTCTTAACTAAAAAACAAAGGTTGACATCTTAACAAAGAAGTAATTATGTACAGTGCTAGGCATTTTGCATTTACTCAAATAATCCAAGTAAAAGGTTTGAGACTATTATTAGAATTTCATAGCTGACTGAAACAAAGGAAGTATTTTATAGAAGAGATAAGATATTATATACTTCAGCTAATTCTCCTTAACATCAGCAATTTTTTTACAACCTGCTGTGTGAGGAAACAGCTTTTCCTATGTAGAAGAGGTGAACAATATTTTGTGGAATATTTGAACTTGGTACTATAAATAATAACCTTATGTTACCCAGTTAGGATCACAGTTTTTGTAAAGAGAATTATACAAATAATAAAAAAAAACAAACTGCAAAGCCACCGAAAAGCCCATCCACTTGCAAAATGTTCACCAACCTCATTCTTATTAAATGAAATTTGTTCTTACTGAAGAGATCTTCCCTATATACTCATATGCCTTTCTTCCTCCTATTTCCTTTGGGTCTTTGTTAAAATTTAACTTTATCCTTGAGGCTCTCCAACACCACCTATGAAAAAGCTGCCCCCCCACCCTAATCCCTATGCCCTTAACTTGCTTTATTTTCTCCATTGCCCTTGCCATCTGACATGTCTCTATTTATTGTCTGTTCCCTCTCACTAGAAGGAAAGTTCCACAAGGGCAAGCAAATATCTATATTTTCACTGCTAAAACTCAAGTAGGCCAGGCACCATACCTCCTGCCTATAATCCCAGCACTTTGAGAGGCTGAGGCTGGCAAATTGCCTGAGTCCAGGAGTTTGAGACCAGCCTGGGCAACAAGAATGTATTAGCCTGTTCTCATGCTGCTAATAAAGACAAACCCAAGATTGGGTAATTTATAAAGGAAAGAGGTTTAATTGACTCAGTTCCAAATGGCTGGGGAGGCCTCACAATCATGAAGAAGGCAAGGAGGAGCAAAGTCACATTTTACATGGTGACAGGCAAGAGAGCATGTCCAGGGGAAATTACTTTTATAAAACCATCAGCTCTCATGAGGCTTATCAGTATCATGAAAACAGCAAGAGAAAGACCTGCCCCCATGATTCAATTACCTACCACTGGGTCCCTCCCATGACATGTGGGAATTGTGGGAGCTATAATTCAAGATGAAATTTGGGTGGGGACACAGCCAAACCATATCGATAGCAAAACCTCCTCTCTACTGAAAATACAGACAAACGAAAATTAGCCAGGTGTGGTGGCATGCTTCTACAGTCCCAGCTATTCCAGAGGCTGAAGTGGGAGAATCACCTGAGCCTGGGAGGCTGAGGTAGCAGTGAGCCTAGATCATATCCCTATACTCTAGACAGCTGGAGAAAGACCCTGTCCCCCC